TTTCTGGAAGTTCCTACGGTCTCCTGAGCAGAAACTGGGACATGGAAGGAGTCAAGAGGCAAAGGAATTCTAGCATCACCTGTAAATTTCTGAAACTGGAAGGAAAAACAAAAATTCAGTCATGAATAAAGCAAAACATTAAAAATAAGACCTCAACACTTCCGTGTTATTCGATCATATCACTAAGCAGTCAGTCAGTTCATTACTCAAAAGACTTTAGGGTCATTTCTCCCCCCAGGGATATCTTGGCCAAGTGATTCTTCACTCAAAGGTTAGCTTAAGTCAGAGCTAGACCTGCCATTTCTTTACTTTTAATTGTTGTCCTATCTCTTTCCTTCACTAAAAACACTCTATTGCAAAAAAAAAAAAAAAAAAGTAACACCTTTCCTATCCTGCCTGCACTGGGCTACAGTATCCAATGTGTGTCTCACTGTCAGTTCCCCAGAGTGGTCTGAGGCTGCTTGGTGGGAGGAGGGGCCCAGGAGGGAGAGCAAAGGTGGCAGGGGCCTCCGTGGAAGACAGCTTTCCCTCTCCCAGTCTGACTGCTCAACATACTCTGCCAGTTACTTATGTCTGCATTACTTATTCCTAAGTTATCTGTATCATTACTTGTACCTTCATTAGTGTTCCTTCATTGTAAGCTGACTGCATACAAATAGAAACCTAGACAAAATATGAATAGAATACATTTACAAATTCAAAATTTGGAATACTTTCTCTAAACTTTTCTTTCGCTCTTCACTGAGGATATTCTAATTTAAATTGACAAAATAGGTTTTCTTATTTACTACCACAACACAAAAACCATGATGTGGGAATAAGCTTAGTAATTTCAGACTTGGGAAGACCTGAAATATATTTTTGACCTTCAAGCATGGAAATTATCTGAGGCAGGTCATAGCATTTTCTCTCTGACTAGCTAAATCCTTTTTCTGCTAATCAGTCTTCAATCACTGAGTTCTCTTCTACCCACTTACTTGGATATTTTGCATTCGTCCTACAGTACTCTGCTTTGGATCTGGTTTCTCCTCTTCAAGTGCCTTCTTTTCTTCTTCTGGTGGAATACTAACTG